ACAGTGTTCTGGGTTGAATCCACCAACTGTCTGGGTTCTTTCCAGGTACTCTGGCTTCCTCCCAGAGTCAAAAGAAACAAGGTTAGTGGGGTTTATATATTCAGACTTATTGCTTCATATTTATCAAGGCTGAGACGTTTTTTTGTTTGTTTGTTTGTTTGTTTGTTATTTAGTGCATTTCTGGTTCTGATTGCAATACTGTGATTTACCTGATGATGGACCTGCCTCTCCATCCCTGCCTGTAAGCAAGCTACGCTCCGGCTAAGTGGATAAGAGACTCCACAGAAATAGCACATCAGTATGCTTGGTGGGTTGTTTTTTTTTTTAATATACAGTACAAAACAAGAGAAAAATGATCTAAAGAACGTATTTACCAGTTACCTGTGTTTCTGCAATTCTGTTTAACACCACTAGATGGCAGCATTAAGCTATACATTAACACGTGCTGAGGGCCTCTTAGTTTATCATGATTACAGCCTTGCAGAAATCCTCACTAAGAGCATCCTGATGATGCGATGACACTATGAGAAGCTAATGTTATTCATCAGAATGAGACTAAGCTTAAAGCACAATAATGACTTTAGTGAAAAGCTCTCGAAACAAAAGCCTATCGAGTTATGCTCTAATCAGCATGATAAAAGCCTTACCTTGCACAAGAGCAAATCACAATTCAGAGGAGCAGAAACATAAGTATGCAAAGTCAAATGTTGTTAAAAAGCAATTTCCTCGAATGGCACTCCACTCTCCTACAGCTTGAGTTCATAAAGATAATTTCACAGCAGTGTGGTTTTACATATTAAAGCTAAACACTGCTAGCCTAATAAAGTCTTCCAACATCTTACTGACTCACTGAGCTGCTCATTTAGAACAATGGCTCTTCTAAAGTGCACTACACAGAAGTGGAGGTGTAACTTATTCATATTAGTATGTAAGTACGGAAACTGTTTACACCCTCTGGACCCTCCTTCACTCTAATCAAACTAAATGTTTCTATAATTCATTGGATCGTCAATGCACTGTGGGATTTGTCCATGTGTTCTACTTTTTACATTTGTATGTGAGCGGATTTTGTAATTAACTCCATGAAATCTTCATGGCCCTCGCATGTTCGTCTGACTGACTTCATGCCCTACTAAACTCCAGACTCCCCTCTGTGCATGAGTGCATGGCTCCCGCTGCTAATGTGCGCACTGAAGCCTTCATTTGTATTTCATGTGTGTACAGGCACGCTGTGTGCCCTTTAATGTCCCTCTGCGTCTGAACCATTGATCGTTTCCATGCATGACTACATCTGTGAGAGAACCTCTCGTCTTTATCTCCACCCACACACGGCATCTTGCGGAGTCTCCGTGGACCACATGCACAGCAGATATGAAGCGTTGCTTTCCAGCTTATTAAAATAGTTGTGACGTTGTGGTGTTCTCAAGGTCGCGCACACTGCTTAATTTGAAGTATTTAACTCGTGAAGCCTGACAGATGCTGAGCATTTACTGTGTTATTAACTTTGTGCACGTTTTAACTGAAAATGCTTCAATTAATCCTAATAAACCCATGTGTTAAAAAGCGAATAAGAAATCCTGTCTTCCTCTTCACTGCATGTCTTTGAGCAAACCGCATTACTCCCAGCTGATTTAATAGCCTACGGTATAATATTTGACTCACTTTCGCTACACGGATTATTAAACAACCAAAACTTTTTTTTTTAATAAATCCAACTCAATGTCAAATGAGGACTCTGGCATCAGCAACTCAAGTGATCAATCCTGAGCATTCTACCCCCTGAGTGAAACTTGGACGAGTGTGCGATTATGTGTGCGTGCATGCTCCCCTGGATGGAATTGGCTCCACTCATCTATTTGATGTAGAAGGTCACCTGCTAAAGTCCGCTGTGTTTGCCAATTTGCTTTCCACTCTCTCAGATCCTCTTGAAAACAACATATGTTTTTGGGGAAAACACAAACAGAGAGTAAGCATGACTGTAGATATGTAAATATTCAGAACCATATGCTTGTTTGGGAACTGGACAACACCGGTTCCGAAAAAAGTTGGGAAGCTGTGTAAAATGTAAATAAAAAACAGGATGCAATGATTTGCAAACCTCATCAATCCATATTTTATTCACAATAGAACAGAGAAAACATATCGAAGGAAAAAGAAGGCCAAATTAGTTGGGACTGCAATCACTGTATTGTGTTTTTATTTTAATTTTACACACCATCTTAACCTTTTGGGGGGTAGTACATTTGCATACACTTTCTTATCTAAAATCTCTAAATGTGCCATTTATTTCCATGCTCACATATGTGCGTGTACTCATATGTGAGCATTCTTAAGTTTGCCCATGTGTGCTGCATCTTTCACTTTTCCTACAAGGCTGCAATATGCAGTCAGTGTCTGCAGGAGGGTGAGTCCATTAACAGTACTTAGGGTACTTGAGAGATAATAGGCTCATTTCATTTACCTCTAAAGGCTCTTGAATTATTGACTGAGCTACTGGACATGCTTAATGAAAGGTCATGCTTTTGTGCACATGTTTGTTTATCAGGGTGTATTTACTTGCCATAGCCGCATAACCCTCAATATTCTGTGACAGACATTTTTTTTAAATCAGAAATTGTGATCAAACCCTGAATATAAAAGATGGACGTAGCCAGCATGACGTCACACATTGGTTTGTCAGCTCCCCTTCTGAAGCCTTAGATATGAGCCATCAGCATCTTTGAAACAAAACGCAAGAAAAAATAATTTACATCTTAAACGTACGGAGCCCCGCAGGGGACATGGGAGAAAAAAAAATTAAGACGGACTTTTGCGAGATGTCGCAAAACAAACTCGAGATCTCGCAAAAGTTTTAGGCCCGCCAGCTCGAAGCCGACTGGGAGGTCGAGGCACGATGTGCCGGGAAAGCGGTGTTCCTCCCGGCTGTAGTAGGTCTTGACCTCCCGTTAGCTTCGAGCTAGTGGGTGTCAGATCTCCGAAAATGTTGGAGCACTTTTGCAAATATGTGATGTCTTGTAAACCGAGCAGGTATCTGACGTTTACACAACTACATTCACGCCTCAAAATATCTTAAAAGTGTATTTTGTGACCCAGAAAGAGTAATATCACAACTAAGTAGCTGCCGCCATTGTTGGAATTCAACTTTTGCGAGATCTCGCAAAACTTTTGCGAGATCCTGAGTTTGTTTTGCGAGATCTCGCAAAAGTTTTGCGAGATCCCGAGTTATTTTTGCGAGATCTTGCAAAAGTCTGTCTTGCGGGGCTCCGTATAAACATTATGCTGCAATAAATAAGATATGTATGTAGTGACCATGAACTCATTAGGTAAATGATTACTGAGGTAAACTTTTTTGTTTTCATTGATTTTATCCATTTAACTAGTGGAGTCGCCCCCTGTTTGCCACCAGAAAGATTCCTACTTTTGCCTTTTTTGGTTTGGTTTCACTCAACAACACTGTTATATGACCACAAACATTTCAAATTACTATGAAAACAGGTATTTTCTTGTTATCATTTGAAAGGTTTATCCGTTAGCCTATTTTTAATTATTTAAACTGGGTTTCCATTACTTGCAACACCTTGCTAATTATTAGAGATGGGTGGGGGGAATAAATTCAAATATCGTTAGTAGCGATACCAGAGTTGGTATCGGTATCACATCGATACTAGTTTGATAGGTTTAATACTTTATTTCAATCCTCAAAGATCAGTATGTAGCTTACTTAACTGTGTTAAATAAATGACTTTTTGGAAATGAAAAAATATACCGCAAACATGTATGTATTTTATTTATAGCCTGTTAATAGCCATTAATATAATTACATGTATTTATAACCATTGAAACAACAGCACTGCCCCAAAGTGATTTAGAGACAGACACATCCACATTCCAACGCTCCACCAAATCAATTTCAAAATACATGAAAAGATGAAAGGTGTGCTTTGCTGTATCGACTAATTATTGCAGAAATTCAAAAGCGATTTAGTTGTCATTAAAATGTGTTTAGAATTTGCAAACTAATGATGATCCTTTGAAATCATGAGGTATTGGTATAGCACAAGTATACTAAGGGGTTTTCCCTACATTTTATATGTATTTTCTCCCAAAAAATGATGCTGCAGAAGCATACTGCAGCTCATAATTACACTGATTTTGGAGTCACTGCTCTTTATACCTGTTATGGTCACAATAGCAGTTTAAGTAGTTAACTCAAAATGAAGAAATTGCAAGAGAAGACAGACATATAAGAACAGTCAAGTCGAAGTGGAATTAGAGTGCATTAACATAGCAAGTGGTCTCAAGAAATGTTCCATTAATTAACACTGCAATCCACGAGGGAAACGTTTCCTCTCGGTTAAGCCACTTCTTACAATATCCGAGTGTTTGGAGTGCTTCTTAAAGCCTCTGAGTAAAGCTTAGGGTCAGAGTCAAATATCATTTTAAAGGTATATTGAATGATTTGTGGTACAGTCGTAAAACAAGTCGCAATCAATGTTTACTGTATATATTGCCCACAGTGATCAGTTCAGGCATGAAAGTGAAGTTTGCAGCCCGGTGCACTGAAATTGTGAAGGTTGAATCCGAATGACCCAACTGGCCAAGGTGGAGAGGTGACGATACTGACTGTGAAAGCTGCTTTTAATGGGTAGCAACTTTTACAAGTGAAATTATTTAAAGCATGAATCATTAATCTTCATGAAGTAGTAGGCCGAGTCTGAAAGTGTTTCTTTTTTTAACATAACTAAAAAATGCCTCGGGGAGGCGCTTCAGATAAATTGAGCTCAAATCAAGATATCTTAGATGAAAGAGATTTTTCTCTAAAAGTTGATTTTCTTCTTGAAATAAGTATAGATAGTTTACCCAGAGGCAATTTGCTTCCTATTTGAGTCTAAACAAATTAGACTGGAAGGCATCTGCTTAAATGCGCGTTGATATCACAGCGCCGCCTATGCGTAAAAATTAAAAACTGGGAAATATATTTATTAGCACGTCTTGTCGGGCGTGGCAGGCTTCTCTGCCGGGGGGTTGCTGTAACCGTAGCCTGCTCCGGGGCTGCTAGATGCTCCATGATGGATGGAGAGTGACAGATCGGGGTTAGCCGCCAGGGGAGTGCATTTTTCTTCCAGCGCACGGTCCTACCCAAGGAGAAAGCGAAGAAGGAAAGATACTGGACGCAAAGGAGGAAAGGAAGAGATACAGAGAGAGAAGAGACCGATTTCTACCCCTCCTCTTTCCTTCTCTCTCTCTTCTCTACTCCCGTGCATCACAGCCTGGTGGGCTTTACCCGGACTGCACCGCATTGACGCTGCTGCTGCTGCCGACCCAACCCAATGAATTAACATCATACACATACTCGCAGAGGATCTGGGTTTTCGCACAGCTGGAAACTGGATGCTGTGCTGATTTGTGCGTGCATATGCAACAATTCCCTCTCTCTGGATCCGGACACTGACTCGCTGTCCTGCTAATGCCAAGACTTTGAAAACGAGGAGGAGGGGGCGTTTTGGAGATTATTGCAGCTGCAGTGCAAATAGTGCAGAAGAAGACACTGGGATACTTGCAAGTTTGCAGAGCGAATGTAACCCTGTGCTATTTATTGTACGGTTTCCAACATGGGTGTTGACTAAAAAGAAGATTATCCCCGAGCTCCATAGAGGTGTGATGATCATGCACTCGTGAAGATTTAAACTGCGCTCAGTAATTTCCTGGATCATGCAGATTCTGCCGCCTAGGACGTTATTCGTGTTACTGGCCCATATACATGTATTGCTATCTCTGAGAAATAATGGAGGAGTTCGGATTAAAGATGAGAGCAACAGCAGCGCGTACTCTGGCAAGACTTTCCAGGGGTCTCTCCGGGAGAGTCATCAAAACAAAGCCCGGGACCGTGCGCTCTTGCCCGAGTACGCCACAGGTGCGTCTTCGGCAGAGCTGCAGGCACAGCGGGCAATTATCAGAGGGACCCTTAACTCCACTCACCCCTGGAAGAGGGTAATTGCAGAAGAAATTCGGCGAAATGGACACAGCAAACGCGACTACAATAGGACTCTGACACCCGTGGAGGATCCCAACGCCGTCTCACATTGGGACTCGACGCGCCACCATAATAGGAGGATAAAGTTGAATGGCGGGTTTAGTAGTACGGGGACGCCAGCAGGTGGACACTACAATGCGGCTAAGCCATCTTCAATGGGTTGGGGAGACGGAGGAGGGGGACCCGAGGAGGGCGAGAGGCACAAGAGAGGCACAAAAGATGAACAGAAGAAAGCGTGGAAGAGGGGGAGAAACCGGTTGAACAAAAGCTCTGTAGTTTTGGCTCAACCTCACGCGTCACCGTGGGAACCCATGCCCAAACCGGTGGCCCTCACCTCCACCGAACTGCCCTTTGACCTCTTCACCAGGAGGAGTGAGTTTTTCACTTTCCGAGAGGAGAACCCCTGGGACGCCACGCCGATCACCCCTCCCAGCTCGCAGGATTTCGAGAACGAGATCAAGAACCCCTTTTACCCGGTGACGAGTGAGACTTACGGCGCTTACGCGATCACGTGCGTCTCCGGGGTCATTTTCCTGGTGGGCATAGCGGGAAACATTGCCATCCTGTGCATCGTGTGCCAGAACTACTACATGAAGAGTATCTCCAACTCTCTGCTGGCAAATTTAGCTGTGTGGGATTTTGTGCTCATCTTCTTCTGCCTGCCCATGGTGGTGTTCCACGAACTGACGAAGTCCTGGCTGCTGGGAGAATTTGCCTGCAAAGTGGTGCCCTATGTGGAGGTAATTCTGCCCAGCTTTCATTTGTGTCTTTTTTTCTGCTTTAAATTTCTCACATGCGTAGGTGACATGTTTTGAATTGATCCCTTCAGTCAATGTCATTTAGGTGTCATGCTCTTCGTTGCCTGCCTATATAGAGATTTAATTTAAGAGTTTGGTTTCACTTTCAAAGCACTGACAGACCTGAAAGTACACACAGTCACAGGATGACACCTCACCCAATAACAAGGCAATCTGTTTGGCACTTGTGCACCTGCTGCAACTGGAGAGGAATCTCACTTAGCCCTGGAGGCATCAAACACACAAACAAGCACAGACACCAGCATGTTTGACAGCCACTCAGTATCTGCCATTTACTTTGGCTTACACACCACTGCTTTCATCATACATACACCTGAGGAAGGCATTGCACACGCACATATACTCAGTCAGCCTCTTTCCTTGCCTTTTTTGTACCCTCCCCTTCCCACGCACCAGCATTCATAAGCAGTAGTAGTATGCTGATACCGTTCCTTTGTGTTTTTACTGCAATTACACCAGTGTCAGATTCACCCACAAGCGCAATGTCTTTTGTGTAAAACAGGGGATTCCAGCTCAGGCACAGCTTAAGCTTGTTTTGAATGGCTGTTAGCATGGCCCGCCTCAAGTGAACATGAAGGGGGGAGGTTACATATGTGTTTAAAGATGCTTGATTTGAAGACGGAGAAAGTGTGGGCAACCCGTCTGAGTCATGACTACGTAAGAATTATGTTGTTTGCAGCCAAAGGTAGAAAGAAAGATAAGAGTAAATGTCAGATTGTGTAACCGGGCAAGAAGCCAGAGTCAGTGATCAGAATTTAACTTCAACTCCTCCCTCCAGATGCTACAGATCCTGCAAACAGGAAGAGCTGTTATCTAATAATATCTTACCAGCCATACAGCAAAAACCTGTTGAGATGTTAAAGATACCTATGCGTGACGTATAATCTACACTAAGGTTTGGTTTAAAGGCCATCTGTTCAGGCCATTGAAATGGTGTCCCTTTATGTCTAAATTTGGTTTAAAAGTGAAGGTCACTCTTTTTCAACAACTCAACAAACTCCTCACATAATTGGCAGATTTAAACCTAGACTCCTTTGTAGTGACACCACTAAAAAAGTCCCCTTTTCTTCCTAAACGTTCACTTTTAAACAAAAAATAAGCCCTAAGAAGATAAATTTTCACCTTTTACATTTAAACCAAATGTATAGATAGAGGGGTCGCCTTTTTAAAGTGGTCAGAATTAGTCCAGGAAGATATGTTCATGGGCTTGTGGTGCTTGTCGGGTATTGGTATTGGTGAATCTTATATTAGAAGTTTCCATGCAACTGTAATTATAAGGGTGTTGAGACAGAGCTGAAGGCCAATTTCTAGGGCAATGCTCGAGTGTACAATGGGCTTCTAAATCCAAGACCAGTCGGTGCTTTTTCTTCATTTTAACTCAATTGTCAGCTTATGGTCACATATGCTCACTGGCTATTATTTGTTCAGTGAAGTTATAAAGGTAAAGGTCCACTCACACTTTCCTAGAGTCTGACTGATGGAATTTTTAAAGCTGATACTGATATTTGGTGATTTAAAAAATCCTATATTTTGATATATCAGCTGGTATTTTGTTTTTTTATATTCAGACACACAAACATAAGCAGATTTTTTAAAGTCCTTTATAAGATAATATGATAATGGAGTTTAAAAAACCTGTGAGTCTGCAGAGTGCTCCTTGGTGGAAAAACATGCAATTTCAACACTCAAAACATAATACCATATTGTAAATACTATTATATTTTTTTTATTTACGGTGCTAAGTGCCTTCTTTTTACTTTATATTTTATACTTTTACTATGTTTACTATGGTTATTATGTTACTGTGCTGCTTCTTGTTTTATTGCTGCTGGCCTCTGTGAACTACCAAACAAATTTCGTTGTATAACTACAACGACAATAAAGTTCTTTATCTTTATCTTATCTCATCTATAATAATAAATGCTGATACCAGTATATATCAGCGAAAGGCTAATATAGGCTGATGTATCGGTCAGGCTCTGCACTTTACTAGGCGTAGATGTTTTGCAGAAGCTGCAAAAAATGATCAATAATAAGTAGAGATTATATTTAGCATTGCATACTTACTCTTTAGTGTATAATAACATCTTCATATTTAGTATCAGTCCACTGTGCACCGTGTTGCAAACACCTTGTGACTGCATATGTTTTAATTATTGGGGGATCAAAGAGAAACAGGCCCCCTACCTGTGTTATTGCATATGAGCTTCCCAGGGACCACGGGATAATATTTAATAACCTGACTAACACACATCCACCGCACAGACCAAATGGTTATTTTTAATACAGAATATGTTGTTGTGAAGTAGCTGTACACACCTGTCTCCATGTGTTTATTGCTTCATTTCAAGATGTGTTTTAATATACATATGTATCAGGACATGTGCACAGGGCGCTGTCTGTGTTCCGTGTGTGTATTTGTGCATGCATGTATCAAACAGGCTGTGAGTAATGCAGCCCAGGGCTCAATCTTTCCCTGTGGAACATTCAGCGAAACACACACACTCACCCTATGGAGTGACTTCTTTCTTCACTTAACCCAAATTGAGTCACAGGGGATATTATCATTTGAAATAAGGACACAGTCTCAGTCACACTTAGCCTGCATAAATACACAACACAGACAGACACAGAACCCGATTCAGGTATGTATTCAAATCAGGAGATTCTATAGATAATGCATGAGTGTCTGTGCAAAGAGAGGAGCCTCCTGTGGAGTTGCTTTAAGTAAATCTTGTTTTATTCAGTGCTTAGTCGAGTGTGGAATTTCTAAACCTCAAAGAAAAAGCAATTTTGGTGTGAGATGTGAGCAAACACAGCAGGAAATGCTGCACAAAATAAAAATGTGAGCCAGTCTGCCAGCCCACATCATTTCAGATACAGTGCCTGTTCACACCGCACACTGCCCCTCTTGGCAGTAAGGGGACAGAGCCCCCAAAAAAGGCAAAACTAATGGACAATAATTGGGTCTTTGCACCTGGCAGTTTATTAGAATAAGACCTGAAACTAGAGTAAAATAACAAATAAATGGAGCAGTAAGCATTGTATAAGCCAGAAGGAAAAAGTCATTTGTCAAGGTTGATTTAAAGCTATGCTTTTGTAAAAGAGTGATTTATATACATCTTATTAACCCCAATTAAAGAAATGCTTGTAAATCATTACAGAAAAAGGCATCTGAGATATTACAATGTCACAGACACATTGATTGAATGGCCATCTTTTTCTGATAATATTGTGTTACTTTTTAGCATTAGGCACATGGTTTGTTGGACAAAATTCAACCAAAATGCAAAATCCCACTAACTGAATCTTACACAAAATTTGTACACTTATATTTCAGCAGTCTTGCAAGTATTGTACAACTGAACCCATATGCAACAGCCTAATGACTTCTCCCATTAGTAGACAGATAGATAATTGGCAATCATCATCATGGGATATACATCTCCCTAAAGATGCATTGTAATTAGTGTTATATTGGCAATCTCAATACTAGTGTAGCCATATAGCATCTGCTTAAAGCCATTAGAACCTGAACTGATTATATTTGCTATATACAACTTGTGCTTTTATTTACTATATACATTTCTAAGTGTTTTTATGTGAGAACTTTAAGCGTGACAACAGTAACAGGACTTTAGCTCATAAAAAAAAGAATCCTTTATGATCCGTCTGTTTATTGCCTGTCTCTACTGCCATTCATCCAACCTGTTTTCAGTCTTTCATATTTTGACTAAAACTGATTCTCTGACTATCATAAATTTCCTAACTTTTGGGATACATTAAGTATGTTCTAGCTTATCTAATTCATTGAAAGTTCCTTCTTTCTAACTCTAAGCACAGTATATAAAAATCTATAAGGCCAATATCATCCTTCAGTTTAGGCTTAGTTTAGTTTGTGCCTTGTGTATTTGGCCTTGTTGGTATTTTCTGTAGACAGGGCTTCAGCAGGCAGACATAGTGAAATAGACCGTCGAAGAGGCTGGAGGAAAAGAGAGTGCAAGAGAAAGCTTGAGTAGGAGGAGAGAGTGAACAGGGCTGCACGGACCCACCGAGGGCCACAATGCACAGTGTCGAAATTGGCGATAATGGCAGGACATACATCAGCTTGACATATACACACTCACCGTGCACAGACCGAGGCGCAGACCCTCAGGTAACTGAATTAGAATGTGGTCTGCTCTTTATGTCTGCTGTATGAAGTACAGTAGTGGAATATAGGAAGGAATATAAAGTCAGTTGCAATTATGATTTTCTTTCTAAAGAAAGAATCCAAAATGATAGCCTTGCTAGTAAAATCAAAAATATTTATCTTCATTTACCATACCGTTATGTTTCGATCTTTAGAAGTCTACCAGAGGTCATGAAATGAGAATCTCTTACTATTTACAGTTATATGTGTCCAAGCCTATGTTGGTTTAAAATCTAGGTAACCATCTAGCCTGTAGACACACATACACACACACATTCACAAAGTCAGTAGGGTGTGGTGTTTCTCCATATGGGTAGGATGTCCTTCTCCCTACTGATCACTGCCTGCGGCTGTTCTCCCCCCTCTCCTCTCCGCATCAGCTATCTGTGATTAGAAACAAGCCTTGGGACACGCACACTCACATACACTTAGAGACAGAATGAATATTACATTAATATAAACTGAAATGCAGATGTACACTTACAACGCGTAGACACTGACAAACACAAATTAAGTACACAAACACAAACTAGATCTCGCGCCCTTTGCATTCTCAGCCTGTCAGGCATGCGAGTAATTGTTAATTGGAGTATACGTATTTGAATTATTCAGAGTATGTGATTAGCAGCTCTTCATTATGCATGATGGTGAGTCCATTCAGCCAGCTCTTTGTCCATGGATGAGTAGATTTGGTGTTTTGTATGTTCAGACAAGTTCAAATAACAGCATG